AAGTGGACGGAGGAGTACTTTACTATTTTTTTTTTGAGAAGGAGTACTTTACTATTTTTACCAATTAATCATTCATATTTTAACTTTCTAGATTACTATATTATAGAAGAGTCTAGGAATGACTACCAATGGTCCAATAAGATCACTACTAATGTCCAATATATTTATAAAATATATAAGTGTGCCCCACCACCTTCCACTTAAATACTACATATTATATATTATTAATTACTATACTATAAATCACAACTAATATCCAATATATTTATCAAACTATATAAGTCGGCCCCACCACCTTCCACTTAAATACTACATATTATATATTAATTACTATACTATAAATGACTTAAATACTCCATATTATCTATTACAATAATTAACAATTATTTGACACTTTAAATTCTATCAATGCCATATAAATTAGGATAAAAAACCTAACATATAATATTTAAATATATTTAAAAATAATATAAGTAATACTATACATTACAATAATTAACAACTTAATTATTTAAAACTTATACAAAAAATTTAATTGACTCTCTAAATTCTATTGGTACCACATAAAATGGATTATATAATAAACATATATTGTTTGAAATTGACGAAAAAGAAACAATAAATTACAATAATTAATAAAAAAAATAGTCCACTCCAAAAAATCCATCAATTAACAACATATATTGTTTGAAATTGACGAAAAAGAAACTATAAATTACAATAATTAACAAAATAAATCTCTCGACTCCAACAAATCTATCAATTAATGCCACATAAATTGGGACATGGCAAATAACATATATTATTAAAAAATTAGGTTCAAAATGTACTAAAAAATACAATAACTAACAACTTAATATATTAAAGAGACATATAAAAAAGGGTTAATATTTGAAATTCTGCATCTTCCACATAAATTAGAACAAAGAGAGTAATAAATATTATTTTCAAAATTATGTTAAAAAAAAGTACTACAAATCATAATAGCTAACAATTTAAAATATTTTTAAAATCATATACAAACTTCAATAACTTCTCAAATTCCATAATATGACATAAATTAAAAAAAAGTGTTATAAATCATAATAAATAGTACAATATTTAAACTACTTTAAAAGCATTATAAATTATAATAAATAATACAACAATTTAAATTACTGAAAATTTAACGACTTAAATTTTTTTTTAAAAATGTATTAAAATTTTGGTTAATTGTCAAAACTTTACATGTGCCACATAAATTGGGACATGGACAGTCACACATATTTTTAAAAAAAATTACATTAAAAGTATTCTATCAATTAACAACATATATTGTTTGAAATTGACGAAAAAGAAACTATAAATTACAATAATTAACAAAATAAATCTCTCGACTCCAACAAATCTATCAATTAATGCCACATAAATTGGGACATGGCAAATAACATATATTATTAAAAAATTAGGTTCAAAATGTACTATAAAATACAATAATTAAGAACTTAATATATTAAAGAGACATATAAAAAATGGTTAATATTTGAAATTCTGCCTGTGCCACATAAATTAGAACAAACAGAGTAATAAATATTATTTTCAAAATTATGTATAAAAAAAAAGTACTACAAATCACAATAGCTAAAAATTTAAAATATTTTAAAAATCATATAAAAATTTCAATAACTTCTCAAATTCCATAATATAACACTTAAATACTACATATTATATATTAATTACTATACTATAAATGACTTAAATACTCCATATTATCTATTACAATTATTTGACACTTTAAATTCTATCAATGCCATATAAATTAGGATAAAAAACCTAACATATAATATTTAAATATATTTAAAAATAATATAAGTAATACTATACATTACAATAATTAACAGCTTAATTATTTAAAACTTATATAAAAAATTTAATTGACTCTCTAAATTCTATTGGTACCACATAAAATGGATTATATGATAAACATATATTGCTTGAAATTGACGAAAAAGAAACAATAAATTACAATAATTAATAAAAAAATAGTCGACGAAATTGACGAAAAACAAATTATAAATTACAATAATTAACAAAATAAATCTCTCGACTCCAACAAATCTATCAATTAATGCCACATAAATTGGGACATGGCAAATAACATATATTATTAAAAAACTAGGTTCAAAATGTATTATAAAATACAATAACTAACAACTTAATATATTAAAGAGACATATAAAGAATGGTTAATATTTGAAATTCTGCATGTGCCACATAAATTAGAACAAAGAGAGTAATAAATATTATTTTCAAAATTATGTTTAAAAAAAGTACTACAAATCACAATAGCTAAAAAATTAAAATATCTTTAAAATCATATAAAAATTTCAATAACTTCTCAAATTCCATAATATGACATAAATTAAAATAAAAAAATAATATATATTGGGCCCCGTGCTGGCACGGGGTCCTATATCTAGTATCCATAGAAGCAATTAATCATTTTCTTGTACTAGTAGATAGCATTAGTTATTTGTAGGGGTGTTCACGGGTCGGTTTGGATCGATTATTGGTTAAAATCAAAATCAAACCAACTTAATCGGTTTTAAAATTATCAAAACCAAACCAAACCAATTATAATATACATTTATCGGTTTGGTGGTTATCGATTTCGGTTTGGTTTGGTTTGGTTATTCAGTTATTAATCATACACAAAAAATAAAAGAAACAATTCATTCAAAATGTTAAAAAAGTGACAACAATCCATTCAAAACGAAAAATAGTTAGAATGACTTAATTACTGAACTTTCAATCACTAAATTTAGTATCAATAAAGCTTTAAAATTCACTATATTGGCCTACAAGGAAGAAACAATAACATTTTTTGTCCCACAAAAAATTATCATAGACACTCATATACATGAAATCAATAAGATAAATGTTTTCATCTTGAACATTTTTGCTTTCAATAAGTAAATTGTATAGAAATTTTAATGAAAATATATATAAGATCTTTAAAGTTGTTTATAAAAATAATATATTAAGTATTTATATTAATAAAATATATGTATATAATTCATCGATTCGATTCGGTTATTTCTTCGGTTTTTTCGAATAAAACCATAACCAAACCAATTACTATCAGTTTTCAAAAATCTAAAACCAAATCAAACCAAACCCAAATAAAATCGGTTTTATTTTATAGGTTTGGTTCGGTTTTTTGATTTGGATCGGTTTTTATCCAAACCGTGAACACCCCTAGTTATTTGTATGTTGTACGCAAAATTGGAGAAATAACTAACGATCATGATGGATCTTGAGTCATTTTTTATGTTCTTGCTGCTTCTTCATGTCACATGATTTTTTTAAAAATGTTTTCTTCACTAAAAATTAACAAATTACTGTATTTTGTTTCAAGTGTTTGATTAAAAGTTGATATAATACGGTTTGTTCACGAATTTAAATTTGGTGATTTAGAATAATTATTAAAATATATTAAGGAAATTGAGAAATGGCTTATGATATAAAATGAACAATTACTACCGACAAACATAAACCAAGTTATTAACCCCTTGGCCCATTAAGCCCAATGGGCCCAACCCCCAGTACAGTAATGTAAAATGGTCATTGCGCCGGAGCAACAGTACCGTCGGTCAAGGAAACGGACTGCTCGTTCTCCGCGGCGGCGCCGCCTTCAAACACCTTCACGATCTTCTCTACGGGAATAATCGGGAAATAATGCGCCACCACATAGCCGTTCTCCGACGCATATGTCACCACTTGATTGTATTTCTCACTCCAATAAGCAGCCGTCGGCACCAAAATCTGAGCCACTTGAGGGAACAAAGGAAGCTTGTTCAGAGATCGCCATGCCAAAACCGCATTTTTCTCGGCCACTGGCTCGTATTTTGCGTATAGCTCCTTCACTGTGGGTTCGTACTTTGTGTAGAGTGTTTTAGCTACGTTGCTCGCTGTGTCCACTAAGCCATCGTGCTGTACCTCGCCGGCGAGATCTCGAGCTAATTCTGGAGCCTTCTGAGCTATTAACAGAGCTTTGGATGATGCCTGCTTTAGTAGAGAAGGCACATGGCTTTCAACTTCTGTCATCAAGTTTGCAACCTGCATAGATTCAAACTTTCAAATCCTTGCTACTGAAATTCGAGTTCAAAAGTTTACAACATTTATGTGAATTTCATGTGTATGTGTGTCCACATCCATTTTTATGGCTCATTCCTCTAATTGAGCTAGATTAGATCAAGGATTTCAATTCGTTGAAGAAGACAATTTCTAAATGTTCTCAATTCTAGCAAACTTTCAAGCTGCAAAATAAGTATGGTGTGGACAGTATGGGTAAACTTCATTTTGGAGAAAGAAGGTGAACCTTTAGGTCGATGAACTTGAGGAGATTGAAAGGAACGTTGTGGAACTTCTCATAAACCGGTCCGATAACAGTTTTAACAGTGGCTTCTACGGCCTGTACACCAGGTTTCAACGGGCCGGAGTTTTCTTTGCCGTATTCATACAAAGTTGAGAAGCAAACAATCACATAGATCACTGCAACTTGAACGACATCCAGATATTTGAGTTTCCTCTCATCTTCTGCTACCTTCAATTATAAGCACAAATCAAGTACAGATTTAAAACTTAAAAATTCTGAATCTCAGCTTATAGGTTGAGAAAACACATCGAGAAAAAATAAACTAAAATCGACAAATTTACTAGTACTCTACCTCTATTGCATGCATAAATTAACCTGTCAATGCATCTTCATCAAATCTAACTACTCTTTCTCGAAAATAAATAAATTATTATGAGTTGAGTGACCATGTGTTGTGAAGATGAAATTGGCAACCATGAAGGCAACAGCTCATTCCTCATTTAACACCTCAAAATAAGAAGATAACAATTCATTCTGGCAATTAATATGAGTAATTGAACAACTTAGATCTAATATGTGAAGCCTGAATAACAGAGTATGAACTTACAACGTAACCACGCTACAACGGTGCTTTACCTCTAGATGTTTGAAAATTAAAATTGATTTAACTATAATATCATGATAAACGTAGAAGGCATTGTATACTTACTGGATCAGCTGGATCAGTACTAGTAGGCGGCGTCGTGCTTGCTGGATCAGTACTAGCAGGCGGGGTCGTGCTTGCTGGATCAGTACTAGCAGGTGGCGTCGTGCTTGCTGGATCAGTACTAGCAGGTGGCGCGGTGCTTGCTGGATCAGTAGGCGGCGTTGCAGCTGCGTCGGCCATGGTAGAGATGGGGGAGAGATGGAGAAAACTAAGCACAATGGAGTTGTACAAGAAAGCTTCGAAAAGCAGGCCGTTAGCAAGTCCCCTTTTATAGCGGACCGGGCACGTAATAATCGTGTGCGGAGAAGTCGATGAAAATTTTACCTTATGAGAGGTTTTCAATTAATGTTTAGCCCAAAAATAAAGTGAATAAATATTCTTAATTAAAGTGAATAATATTCATGACCATAAATAGAAAGAAATTATTTAATGATATGTTTTTTGCTAATTTTTAAATTTTAAACAAGAAAAATTACACAAATTAGACTCCCAGTCATAGATCAAGCAAGTTAATATCCTTAGAGAGAGTCCAACAACATAAGAATCAAAATACACAAGAATTTTTACATAGTTTCTTAGATTGCATGGTTTATTTATTTTACCCAAGCAAAGGGCTTGTCAAGAAGCTAATACATACTTTTATTGAGTCCATGTTTCTGATAGTTCTAATCGGGTATCAGGCGCCCTACTTATCAAACTCTTTTTCGGGCTAAAAACCACGACTCATCAGACGGAGTCACAAAGACAAAGCCAATAAAAGTAGTACTAGATCCGACTGTACCTCAATCTCAGAACCAAGTCGAGAAACCATACTAAAATTCTTCTATATTTAAATAAAGCTTAGATCCGTTCATGATTTATATAAAATAGAAGTTAGTTATCCGGCATAGATATAATTTTTTAGCCGGACATAGTCACGGCTTAACTCAGAGATAAAAAGATAAAATTGAAACTAAAAGGAAGTACCTTATAGTAAACACCACTCTTTATTGCTCCGGCCAAAGTCCGGCAAGCTTATAATACTTAGAAGATTTTACAAGAGAGAGAGAGAAATGTAAACAAGAAGAGGTGGTTTCTAAAACCTGCCCTCAATTAAAGAAAAACAAACTTATTTATAGAAAAAAAAACATCTTTGTACAGGATACTGGGTCCTGGTAATAGTGTATCTACTGTAGGTGAACAGTGTATTTACTGTAGGTGAACAATGTATTTACTGTAGGTGAACAGTGTTGCTACAGTAGTGCGGGCCTGCTACCGATGCGGATAAGCTTTGCACTTCTTTTTATATCTTGTCCATTAATTTTGCCAAAAAATCTTCGGCTTTCTTCAGTGTATCCACCGGTGCTTCTTCTTCATATGGTTACGCTTCGTGCATATCTTCACTTGTTTCACTACGGATTGATGAATCTGATTTTGCGTAATGACTTATATTTACAAGAATCTTTTTCTTTACTTCTTCTAGATACTTCATAATCATTTCATTTTGTTCTCCTTCATCATGATTAGAAATTTTTCTAGCCATATGTTTTACGGAGGTTGAGTCATCAGTCATAATTCCTTTATTAGGAATCGATTTATAATCGTGTATGATTTTTGTTATTAGATCCAACAGTTCTTGTATGTATAAAGACTTTGTTTGAGGATCTTTATTCATCAACTTGTTCCAAAAATTATTATAATAAGTTCTGTATAGGCAAGGGATTTGTTCCTCAGTGAAATCTACTTTCGGAACCCATTTATGAATCCATTGAACAGAGAATTCTATAAAAAAGTATATATGTTCAATTTGTTGAAAATAACAAATACGTTCTTGATGATATAACTTGTTGAGATCTGGGGAAATCTTGACCCATTCTTTGTATAACTTGAGAAATGGTTCGGGCAATATTTTTATGATTGGCCCGTGGTATGACCACCAGTTTAAAAACCAATTTGGTATAGGGTTAGCAATATCTTGGCACATACTTTTATAAACCAAGTATGTTTATGCCTCTCATTGTTATAATAGAGGACTTTATTAAATGCCTGAATATAATCCCAATAGGTAAAGTTTATCATGACTTTGTTCAGACTGAATTGTCTTTCAGTCATTGAGAAAATACCCCAATCTTCAATATGAATGAAGTGTTTTATAATAATTTTAGAGAAGTTATAAACATTCTCACTTGTATTATATCCTGAAAAGTGTTGAAATTCAACACCTGTGCTTATCAGCAGAGTCTCATAATATTTTTGAGTTTTGCATGACTCACCCGGGAAATAAAACCCATTAACTAAATATCTCTAGAATATCTTCCAAAGTTCTTCTTTTCTCTGTATGTCAGAGTTTTCTAAGAGAAATATCATTTCTCTTTTTTCTACCTTTTCATATGTTTTGATATCATCAACTTCTTCTTTGGCGATTGAAGCAAAAGAATCACCTTGTTTTTGAGTTAGAAACTCCTGTAGTTTAGCATATAATGGATCACTTTCTGGATTATCTTCCAGATGTATTGATGAGGAAGCTTTTTCTTGTGCTCTAGAGTTTAAGTTATATAAACTCATTCCTCCCTTTTGTATAATTGGAGTACTAGATGATGAAGATCCGTATGATGATCTTGATGAACTTGGGGATGATCTTTCCCTTCCGCGAGTATAACTGCCTTTTCCCCTAGCCTTGGTTATCCAAGGAGGATCCATCCTTCAAACATAGCAATTAGTTTTAATCATTCAAGAGGTTATATTTTTAATCATTCAAGAGGTTATAAACTTCATTACAATAAAATCTTTCATAAAGCTCTTGTTCAATCATGTCATTATTGACGATATCTATCACCATTCCGTCTATAATTTTCCATAATATAAGTTCCTTTAAATCTCTATTAAGAGGAACTGTCTTCAAAATCGTAACCAAATCTTTATCAGGAAAGAGGTCAAGAAAACCCATCAGAAGAAAGATATTCTCTTGATAAGAAGTCTGGAAGGGAATTATCACTTCCCTTTTAATAATGAATTTCGAAATCAAAAGGGGATAATTGTGTCTGTCATCTATCAAAAATTAACTTAGACGCATCATGTTTAAAATCTTTATCAAACATATACTTGACTGACTGAGCATCAGTTTCTATCAATAATTTTTTATTATATAAATCATCTTGAAATTTTAAAACGCACTTAACGATAGTTAACATTTCATGAGCTACCGTTGCATATTTTTTCTGAGCATCGCTTTATTTTCCTGAATGAAACCGAATAAGATATTCATTTTTATCATGCGGATTAATTTGTTTCAATATACCTTCATAACCAATATTAGACGCATCCGTCTCTACAATCTTTGGTCAAGCAGGATTAGCAAGGGTTAAACAAGGTAAAAATTTAACTCTTTCTTTAATAGTCCTTACAAGATCTGTAAGACTATTAGTCCAAGGCTTCTTATGATCCTTTTTTAGCCTGTCATATAACGGAGCTAAATCTCGAAACAAATTCTTGTAGAATGGGGAAATGTAGTTTAAATTTCCCAGAAACTGCTGTAATTGCGTCTTATCTGTAATAGTTATCAGGGAATTTCGATGCGAATTCAATAGATCGCTGAATAGGAGTCATTTTTCCTTGACAAATCAAATGACCCAAAAATCTAACTTCTGTTTGAAAAAGACTCATTTTAGGTTTAAATATGACCAAACCATTTTGAATAACTATTTTCTTAAAAATGTCTAAATGCTTAATATGCATTTCAAGAGTCTTTGAGTATACCAAAACATCATCAATATAAACTATGATGAAATCCAAATATGGATTAAAAATATCATTCATTATCTTTTGAAATTCTGAGGGAGCATTTTTTAACCCAAAAGGCATTACATTCCATTCGTACTGTCAAAACGAAACATTAAATGCCGTTCTAAATGAATGGTCTCTAAATATTTGGTTTTGTCAATATCCAGATTTTAAATCAAATTTTGAAAAGATATTAGCATTATATAATCTGGTTAATAAATCTCTTTTATTTGGAATAGGATATCTAATCAATTTTAAAAATTTATTCAAGGTTTATAATTTTTAACTAACCTGGGAACACCTCGTTTTTTTTCTGTTGCATAATTAACATAAAAAACAGTACACGACCATGGTGATTTGGAAGACTTTATCAAACCCTTTTGTAATAAATTATCAATTTCCTTTTTGCAGAATTCAACCAATTCGGTATTCACCTGACAAGGACGTGATTTGGTAGGGATATTTTCCTCAGAGAAATCATCTTCATATGGAAGAGTTACAATATGCTTTTTTCGATTCCAAAAGGCACTAGGATGATCAACACAAATATCAATGGCCATTTTTTCAGAAATGAGTTTAATCTTTTCCTGTACTTTAGCAGATTTTAAAGTATCGAATATATTCATACTAAATATCTCAAACTGTAAATAATCAACATGCTTTTGTTTCATTTCAATTAGAGCATTAATATCTCTAGAAATAGGCTCGGTGATAAAAGTATAACTAATATCTTGATTTTTATAAGTAGCAGAAAATTCTTTAGCATTTATATTAGTAAAAGGATAAATTGCATTTATAAAAGGAGTTCCTAGAATAATAGGAGGGTATAACTGATTTTTTACTAAGAAAAAGAAGTGAGGAATACAAACTTTATTCTGGCAAATACGAGTATTAGATAATTTATACTTTATATCTAAAGCATGACCAGATGCAGATTTAACCATATGAGTTGTTTTTTCAAAAAATTTAGTAGGTACAAGACCTTTTTGAATGCAACTCACATCAGCGCCACTATCAATCATAACAGTGTTAGTTATAGAAAAAGTATTATCAATTAATTTAGTACATTTAACATACCATTTATGAGCTGTAACAATTTGCATCATTCCTAAAAACATATTTTGTTTCGGATCAATATTCAAAGTGTTGGCAAGAGTATTTTCTTCAGCAGTAGATTCATCAGTCTTATTTTTTCCTTTGCTATTAGCAGACTCAATTTGAGTAAGACGGTAATCATAAATAATATGATTTTATTTAAGAAATTTAATTTCTTCTTTCAAATGTTCAATTTCTCCTTTTAAATCATCAAAAGAGGTATCACGAATAACCATGGCTTGTTTAGAAGAGAGTCCAAATTAGACTCATTAGACAAATATAAATGTTCAAATTAGACTTAACCCAATATATTTATTTTGATTGAACTCATGGTCCATATTATTTACTTGACTCC